TAACTGTAAGCTCTGACAAGTTTACAACAACGAATACATTTGGTAAGCTTTGGATTAATCCATTGTCTGCACTCTCCAATTGAAGAGTAAAATTGTCTGATGTTAGACAGAGTAAAAGCATCGGCGTGCCAGCCAGCGATGAGACAACGAGAACTTGTTGTGGGTAGGGGGCATTATGCACCACTCAAAGTAAACCCCGACCCCCCTCACCCCGGGATATAGGTGGGGATTGGTTTTGAATACCGTACCAAAACAGACAAATGCCCCACAATATGGGACAACATTTTCTAGCAAAAGACAAAAAATTCCCCACCCCCGGGGGGGAATTGTAAGTCGTGTGAGTGAATTTATCTCCTGCATAATATCTCCTCGACAATCTCCGGGGCGCCACATAAACCGTCCACATTTTAAAATATTAATTTTTTGTTCCAAAACTCTAAAGAACGATAAAAACATATTAATATAAACAAACAAATGTCGAGCTTTCCACAACAATAGATTCCATGGATGGATAGACATATTATTATTAACCAGTATTAACGTATAGATTGAAAAGAAATTAAATTAATAATGTATTTATAAAATTCCTCTCGATTTCATTTCCTTACGAGCATGCCATTTTGTCCTTTGTCACATGGTATAAAATGATAGAACCTGGGGATTCCATTGGACAAAACGGTACAAAATAGTACAAAATGGCCGCAGACAATCCCCTAACAATCCCCATTTCTCCCAGCATAATTCGGCAGAATGACAAAACCAACAAATTCCCGACATGGTTGGGACAGAATTCGATGACAAAAAGCCACTAAATCCCCATCAAGTCCCCTCTTTGCCCGGGGTGGGGTGGGGGGGGGGGTCGTTGTTTACTTTGACTGGTGCATTATATTTATAGGTTCTTACATGATATACATGACGATCTAGAGTTGCTAAATTTTAAAGCAATATTTATGTCAAGAGCATGCAATTATTTTTGAGCATGAACAAGGCCAGATGCATATAATTAGATAATCAGACACATCATAAATTCCTTTATTTATCAAATTGTGGCATATATAGTACCATATATTAGGAAGATGTTGTTACATGCTAACTGCTTTTCATAGCATTTACATGATATTAAGGGGGTGAGGGAGTTCAGACACTGCAATTCCAATTTAATCATAACTATTCAACTGAGTGAAGCCTGGTTCACAAATACTGCGGAATGTCGGCAGGCTATTGTCGTTAGCAGTTCAACCAAATAGACCAGGTATGTATCAGTCTTAGGCATAATACTATCGTAGGCATATGTAAACCAGGCTTAATATGCCAACAAAATCTTAAGTGCGTTTGTAGTAATCAATTTTCTACAGTTATTTGATATTTCCAAGTTGCTATCTCTCCTCACTTATTGAAATAATTGCTTCAACAGAAAGATCTTTTCCTTTTATATATCAATTCAATTTCACTGAGCATGTTGCCAAATGCCTGATGATTTGACTGAAATTAGTAAAATATAGTCAAAATGTCAACACCTTAGACATGCCAAAATATTATTCCAGAAAATAATACAATTTAATATCATCCGTTTTAGACCGCGAGAGACATGCGATGTATAATCCTTTCAATTGACCAACTAATTTCCGTATACCTTGAATATTTCGACGCATTATAAATCATTTTTAAAGTTTTTACTCGCAAGCTTCGCTCCTCCCCCGAATATTTAAAACTGAATATATAATTAGGGTCAAAATCCTGCTTAGGGGGTGGGGTAGCATAACACGGCCACGAAGGTGCATTGACACGTCCATTTTGTCCGATTTGTTGCAGGCCTCACTCCTAGAAAATACCCATTCGCAGGCTAAAACCCATAGAGAGGCCTGCGGAGGACGCTAGTATACATAAGTGTGAATTCGACCTTTACTTTCTTTGGGATGATAAACAAACGGCTTGACTTCAAGGTGTAAAACATACCACCAATTATGCAAATTATAACAAATAGGTGTAAAAAGCTTTCATGCGGTGACATATTTCATAAAATATAACACAAAAAGCGACAAAACCCAAAATATGGGTTAATACCGAGCGTAAATGGCCGTGTTTTCCACAGTTATAGATGTTGTCGCTTTTGCTCTTGGCTATTCCTGGCTGTTTGTGGCAATTCCCATACAACTCCTACCTAAGTGGCAAAGAGGCGGCAATTCTAATTACCACTAATTTTTAGGGGTTCACCAGAGTCTTTGCTGTAGCGCATGTGCGGATGTAAGCGTCCGCTTGCGAGGTTGCTCAATGTTGAGCTTGTGTCGTGGTAAATTACTAAAAGCTATTTCGGGGATGTTCACAATATTGAACTAGGGGAGAAAGGGTAATGCAATTTGTTTTGTCAATGTACCAATGTACTTTGCAATATTGACAGGAATGCACTGTAAATTAAAAAGGGCCAAATCGACCCCAAATTCCGTTTCAGCCCTTTTGGGGCCAAAGCTGTTTTGGCCCTATGTGAAAGCCATTTTGGCATTGGAGAGCTGGATCTGCACCGACGGGGCCATTTTGGGTATGGAGGAAAGCCAAATTGGCCCTACCCTTTGTCGTGTATTTAGGTTATACTTTTAACAGAAATATGAATCATACATAAGCATGGCCGATCTGCCTATCTCATGCGCATGTCCGTGCGTATGACCGCTGTCCGTCTATATCTATATCTAACACCATCTCTCCTCTTAAGGAATGTATCATAAAATATTGTTCATGAGTTCACTATCGTGTTCGAACAATTATGCTAACCATAACAGTAAGTAATAAAGCAGTTCTCTATGTAGTTTTCTTAAACAGTTTTCGGATCAAACAGTTAAGACCCCACCTCTCGGGTGGTTGGTGCGATCTAGTTGGGTAGCGTTGTTCAGATCCTGTTGTAGCCCTACCGGCTTCTTCTTGTTGGACTACTGGTGGATTTGTGGCTAGTTCGATATCCGGCTCTGCGACAATTTCTTCTGCTGGTGCAATATTCTGGTCAGTCTCTCCGAGCTCTGGATGAGGTTCAGCCGTATCATCACTCTGGTCATTTACTTTCACACTAGAGGCTCGAAGCTGGTCGATGTGACGTCGCCAAATTCGATTTGGACCAACTTTTATCTCGTATGAAAGGGGTCCCGTTTGAGCTCGAACTATGCCTGGTAGCCACTTGTCTTTCCCACTGTAATTACGTGCCATGACAGTCTGACCAATGGATAACTGACGTGTGGGGGAATGTCCTTTCCTCCATGCTCGATCGATTTGCCTGTTCATCACTTTCATTTGTAAATCAGGTTTCACCAAATCGAGGCGAGTCCGTAGCGGTCTGCCCAAAAACAACACGGACGGTGATTCTCCAGTCGTCGAATGCGGTGTATTCCGGTAAGCCAAAAGGAACTTTGCCATATTGGTTTTCAGCTGGGATGTACTTTGTTTCTCGCATTTCATAGCATGTTTGAAACTCTGAACAAAACGTTCCGCTTGACCGTTGGTTGCAGGGTGGTATGGGGCCGTGGTAATATGCTTGATACCATTAGTCTTCAAAAATAGTTGGAACTCTGCGGATGTAAATTGTGGCCCATTGTCGGTCACCACCTGTGCTGGCACTCCATATCGGGCAAAAATGGTTCGGAGTCGGTCAATGGTCTGCGTCGATGTGGTGGATGGCATTATTTCCACTTCAGGCCACTTCGAGTGTGCATCTACAATGATAAGGAACATTTGTCCAAGGAACGGTCCAGCAAAGTCTAAATGGATTCTCTGCCAAGGTGTGGTTGGCCATTCCCAGGGGTGTAGTGGTACTTTGCCAGCTTCATTCTGTTGAAGTTGACAACCAGGGCAGCTCTTGGCTAGGTGCTCAATGTCCTTATCAATTTTGGGCCACCAGATGTAACTTCGCGCCAGTGACTTCATTTTAACAATACCGAGGTGACCTTCGTGGAGCTCGGTTAACACTTGATTACGCAACTTGGCAGGAATGACTGCTCTGTGTCCAAGCATTAGAACACCACAGTGAACTGTCAGTTCGTCTTTCCGCTGGTAAAACGGTTTAATCGCTTCATCTTTTGGAGTGGACCATCCTTTCATAACCAACTCATGGACCTTCACCAATAGAGGATCTCTCTGTGTTTCTCGTTTAACCTGTTCTGCTGTGACTGGCAAGGGCTCAAACTGCGTAGCATAGAAGAGGCCCACTGGATCTGGCTCTTCTTCTGTTGTCTCACTATGCAAGGGTAATCGAGACAGACCATCCGCATTTCCGTGTAACTTAGTGTTCTTGTATCTGATTGTATAATCAAAACCCGCCAAGAACAAAGCGTAGCGTTGTAATCTAGCAGCAGTGACAACAGGAAGGCTTTTGCTGGGATGAAAGATTGAAGTGAGAGGCTCATGATCAGTCAGTAAGGTAAAGTTCCTACCGAAAAGGTAATTGTGGAATTTCTTGACTCCCCACACTGTAGCCAGTGCTTCTTTATCTATCTGTGCGTAGTTGCGCTCCGCCTTCGACAGGGATCTCGATGCAAACGCTATCGGGCGCTCTGTGCCGTCTGTCATGACATGGGACAGTATCGCTCCAATTCCTACAGGTGAAGCATCACAAGCCAGTTGTAAGGGAAGGTTAGGATCATAATGTGTAAGCACCAGATCTGAAACAATCATTGCTTTAACTTTGCAAAAAGCTTCTTCGCATTGATCTGTCCAGTTCCATTGGTAGTTACTTTCCAGCATTTGGTTCAATGGATGCAGTATTGTAGCAAGGTTTGGCAGGAATTTGTGGTAATAATTCACCAATCCCAGGAAGGAGCGTACCTCTGCAACACTCTGGGGGCGAGGGGCATTCACCATTGCAGCTGTCTTGTCGGTGGTCTTGTGCAGGCCTTCGCTATTAATGTCGTGTCCACAGAACGTGATCTTTTCTTTGAAGAACTCACACTTCGATTTATTGGCTCTTAACCCATGGTGGTGCAGCCGTCGAAGGACCTCCTCCAGGTTAGCCATACGCTCTGCGTCGCTTTTACCCGTCACAATCATATCATCTAGGATACAACTAATACCAGAAGTTCCTTCCAGAATCTGATCCATGGTACGCTGCCAAATGGCGGGAGCTGAGGTAATACCAAACACCAATCGATTGTATTGAAACAAGCCCATGGACGTATTAATTGTAAGGTACTTCTTGGATTCTTCCTCCAACTCAATCTGATGGTAAGCTTGGCGGAGGTCAATCTTGGAAAACTTTTTCCCACCAGCTAAATGGGCAAAAATATCTTCGATTTGAGGCAGAGGATACTGTTCTGCTTGTAATGTTGGGTTAATAGTACCTTTGAAGTCCCCACAAATACGGACTGAACCATCTTGTTTCGGCACTGGTACAATCGGTGTCGCCCAATCACTCCACTCTACTTTCGACAAAATACCTTCGCTCTGAAGTCTCTTCAGTTCGTCCTCCACTTTCGGTCGTAAGGAATATGGGACCTGGCGAGCTTTGCGAAACTGTGGTTGACTACCTTCTTTGAGGGTTTATCCTTGCTTTGGCAGATTTGAAAGTTCCCAGCTTGTCTTCAAAAACCTCTGCATACGTATCCAATAGGTTTTTCAGCTTCTCTTGTGTAGTCGTGCCAGGGTTTCTATGGCTGGGATCTGAGGATTTCAACAACTTGATGGTTTTCGAGTCGAGGCGAAGCTTGTGAAGCCAATCTCGACCCATTAACACTGGATCCTTAGTCTGGACTACATGGAGTGGCAATAGACATGATTGATCTAAGTATTCAACTTGCATGGTAAGGCAACCAACTGGAACGATCAGTTCACCAGTATAGGTCTTTAGTACGGTGGTTGTTTTCTCTAACTTCTTGTCGCGAAATCTTTCCAAGAACATGTCATATGGCAAAATGGACACGGCCGATCCTGTGTCTAGTTCCATGGATAGTGGTTGATTTTCAACTTTCACGTCAACCCATATGACATCACTGTTTGATTTGTTTACATTATGAACTTCTAGGTTATTCAACAAGTGTTCATACTCATCTGGTTCAGTCTCTATGGCATTGGTCGATTTCTGGTATCTTGATCTGGGCGAGGCTCTACCGGGCCCCTGGCTTTGTTGTGCCCGGCAAGCTCTTTGAATATGACCTCTCTTTCCACACTTGTGACAGACTTCTTTCTTAAATCTACACTCAGTTGCAACATGGGTATTAGCTCCACATCGATAACACACTACAGGGGAAGGTGGGCCACTATCTGATCTATTCGAGGGTCTGTTCAGTGTCAGTTTGTCAAGACCAAGAGGTTTTTCTTCTCTACCCTTGCTGTGGATCTCTGTAGCATCTCGAGTGGCTGTTTCCATAGCAACTGCTATGTCAACAGCTTTGGAGAATTTTAATTTTGACTCTGCAAGGAGACGTTTCTGAATTTGCTGATTACTTAATCCACACACCAATGTGTCGCGCAAGGTTTCTTCCAAGTTATTTCCAAAATTGCAATGTGTGGTTAATTTCTTTAACTCAGCTATATAACTTAAAATGCTCTCCCCTTCTTGCTGATTTCTCTTATAAAAACGAAACCGTTCGGCTATTTCTAGTGGTTTAGGATTTAAATGCTTCTGTAATGTACTTACTATTTCATCAAAGTTCTTGTCTCCAGGCTTTTCTGGCAAAAGTAAATCCTTTAATAATGAATACGTTTTGCTTCCAATCAAACTCAGCAGAGTTGGCACTTGATGATTGTCGTCGACATCGTTTGCAGCGAAAAAATGTTGTACTCGTTCGACATACGTCTCCCAGCTTTCTTGGGTTTCATCAAAAACATCAATTTTTCCAATCGTCGTCATTTCTGGACTTATAACAATCCCAAATTCGTCGCCACTGTCGTGTATTTAGATTATACTTTTAACAAAATATGAATAATACATAAGCCTGGCCGATCTACATATCTAATGCGCATGTCCATGCGTATGACTGCTGTCCGTCTATATCTATATATCTAACAACGTGGAACAAAATACATTCTTAGTCTTCCATTTATCAGTTCAGTAAATTACAAATCCAGATTGCAAACTCTCCATCTACTGCCCATAGGTTACTAGCTGGCATGAATACCTTGATATGATTCATTTCTTCAAAGTAATTCATGGCATTACCAGCTCGTCCTTTGCCTTGCACGCCAAGACAACAAGACATACAAGATCGTCCACTAACACGAAAGGTGTAAAGTACGAAGTGAGCAAGGACTTTAACGAATAGAGCAAGGACTTTAACGAACTCGATGAACTGTTGTTTTTAGTCTCTATGGTTTAATTGTTATTTGTGTTATTGATAATTGTCTCTTAACGTTTTGGGCCCGCAGTAATTGGTTTCAGGCTGTTGCGGATACCCAACCATCAACTCAGTTTATGTCATTGTGTTATGTATGTATATGTGTGTATGTATGTGTGTGTATGTGTATGTTTCTATACAGTAGTGATGAAAAACAATTAAGTTAAATTAAATTAAGTTACAGCGTCTTGAAAAATAAAAGTGCTGACGTCAGCATTATTTTCGAACGCCTTCAGAACTGTGTTATACACAAAATTTAGTTAAAAATTCTTGGTTAAGGTTAAGCCTTGACTTCTTACCTGATATAAACAAGAATTTAAACATCTTGGCCCAAACTCGCCTTTATTTTAGCATTTGATTTTTGGATAAGTGCTTGGAGGTATAAAATTGATCATTTTATACCACCAAGCATTAACGTTGTAACTAATTATACTGATTCAAAATTTTTGGTGAACACTTGTAATAATGATATAAACAACATATAAGACTTCCAGTATTGAGTTATTGTTTGTTACTTACCTTCAAAATGGGAAAGATCCATCACTTTTGTAATCTGAAAATATGTTGTCAGACGTCCATGTTTATAAACAGTCACATGGCTACCATCGGAAAATATCGTGGTGTTCCGGTATATTACGGGAAAATATCGTGATATTCCGTGATATTCCGGCATATTCCGTGATATTCCGTGATATTCCGGCATATTCTGTGATATTCCGCCATATTCCGTGATATTCCGCCATAGCAGCCTTCCTAGACCCCATGAAAACTTACCAACCTCTTACTTCTCTTCCCTCCTACGATCCAAATGACTCTGTCCTCCATCTCGATGAATTTGATGTGTATCAAGGGCTTGCGTCCCTTAACCCCAGAAAAGCCTCAGGCCCAGACGGTGTTCCGAATTGGGTGTTAAACGAATATGCAGAAGTCCTTGCCCAGCCTGTCAGTTCGATTCTCAATAGCAGTTTTAATGATGTTGTTCCAATCATAAAAACGAAACCGGTAACCGAAATTTGTAAACATTTAAGACCAATATCCCTCACCCCAGCCCTTTCTAAAGTAGCAGAAGAATTCGTTGTTTCTAAATACATTGGGCCAGCTATTCTGTGTCAAATCGACCCCAACCAATTTGGAGTGATACCAAAATCCTCTACATCTATGGCAGCGATATCAACGATCCACAATTGGTCCCAATCAACTGATGGCACTGGCGCAGCAGTTAGAGTAGCCCTGTTCGACTATAAAAAAGCGTTTGACCTTATTGACCATTGTATACTCGCTGATAAGATCTCCAGATTACCAATTCCGAAGGCAGTCGTACGCTGGACTATTGATTTTCTATTGGACAGAAAACAAAGAGTTAAACTCGCAACCGACTGCGTTTCAGAGTGGGGTGCTGTCCGGGCTGGTGTCCCTCAAGGCACGAAACTTGGGCCATGGCTTTTTCTATGGATGATCAATGATCTTAAAATCACTGAAGTATCTACTTGGAAGTATGTCGATGATACAACCTTTTCTGAGGTTGTTAAAAAAGGCGATACCAGCAAAGCCCAAGACGCAGTTACCACAGTAGAAAACTGGTCGAATTCCAACAGATTACTTCTTAATGCAGATAAATGTAAAGAACTCCAAATCGACTTTAAGTCCACGAAACAGAACTTCGACCCTCTTACAGTCTACGGGAAGAAATTGCCGGTTGTCCAAAACGCTAAAATTCTAGGCCTCACCATCTCTAGTAACCTTAAATAGACTAACCACATTAACGAAGTCATCAAAAAAGCTAACAAACGTCTTTACTTCATTATCTTACTTAAGCGCGCAAAAGTCAGTCCGAAAGACATTGTAAACTTCTACTGTACAGTTATCAGGCCCATTTTGGAATATTGTGCCCCGGTTTTCCATTACTCAATCCCATCCTTCCTGTCAGAAGATCTTGAGACGGTACAAAAGCGAGCACTGAAGATCATTTTACCCGCGAATTCATATAGCGAAACTTTAGAATATTTTAATCTTCAAACTTTGTTCCAAAGACGCGAAGAAATGTGTAACAAACTTTTCACAAATATTACTAACAATCCGACACACAAACTGCATAATTTACTGCCTCCCAAACACGAGTCGGTTTACCAACTTAGGAACAATAGACTGTTTGAACGATTCGAAACTAATACAGAAAGATTTAAAAAAACTTTTATTCCTATGTCTAGTAACTTAAGTTAATGTAATTCTTAGTACTAAGCGTTTTAATGACCATTTCTAAATATGCCTAATTAATCCATATTCTATCTTTTAAATAATGTTTTATATACTGTTGTAAATCACGCAATTCAGCTGTCCAGCTGCAAGGTGAATTTTAAATACACTATCTATCTATCTATCTCATCTTCATATTCCGTGATATTCCGGTATTCCAGGTTTTCACAACGCCCGGCACGCATGCATATATGTCCATTACTCAGTCATGCATGTGTTATATTGTTCCCCGTTCTAGTAATTAACACAGCAGGAGATATTGGTGAAAAGATACTTCCAACTCTCCAGATTTCCCATTGGCATTGACTTATCATCCGATTTAAATTTTAACCTCCCGATTTCTCAGGAAGATCGGCTTTTATATATCATTAAGAAAATAAGTGAATAATGACGAAAATATAGGCGAAGTAAAGTTACCCTTTGAGAAAATATTAAAATAAAATTGCATGGCAACAAAATTCCAACACATTTTAATTAAGTAAAATTCTTATTGCCCAAAACATTCTATAATAGAGGCAAAATACAAAGGTTTAAATGAAAATGACAGTGAAATGAATTTACCACCTCCTTATTTATCTGTACCATTGGAATGTCTGTACTGTTAACGTAGGCTGCATAAATTATAAGAACATTGTCACTAAATTCGGCAAGTTAAGTCATATTATCCTTTTATCGTCCGACTCATGACTAAATTATCGCCATATCGTTCAATATCACGGTCGCATTTCCTCCTTGAATTATAACGTCAAATTCCTATAAACTAAGAACATATATAAAGAACCCAAATCGTCGAAATTTCAAACATTTGTCATTACTCTCATCAACCACCTATATGTCAGATGTTCATATGATCGAGAAGAGAGGAGAGAAGACAATTTATCAAAAAGAAATCTTTTAAAATGTATGCATATATCACATGCATATCACTGTACATGTTGTCAGTCAGTGACAAACAGATTATTGAGCGATGAAAACAAAGTTTATGAAACATCAAATAATTATGTATACATTCAGACAATTCTAATAGTCTTGTTGAAGACACCTGTATGGAAACACCCCGGCATAAAAACATGTGTTGGGAGTCGAAGCGAGTGACTCGGTATCGGGATTATGTGATTTATTTTATATTAAACATTACACTATTATTATTATTATTTTGTGGGAAATTATTGACGGAGGCTGTTTATAGAGTAATTTCTACAGTCTAATACCATAGGAATATAAAAAATCCTACTTTTTTGTTTTTCTTTTTTGTACTAGTAACTACAATTAGAAGACCATGCATCCCAGCCAATATTACAAAGTTATGACAAAACAAACTCCATGTTTTGGTAGTTTAACAACATGTCAAAAGTTGGGGGAGCGGGCCGGGGGAACCGTAACATGGGTTAACATGGAATTTATCATACGAATTTTATGCCGCGAATTTCGTACAGAGGGAAATTAGTCTCAACCAGTTATGTCCAAGAATAATTGTAGCTCATGTAATTAAATTGAATGGTGTATATCGGGGGTAGCCCGCGTGCAGGCCCAAGGGAATAGTGGGCCTGCAAGCAAGACCCGGTATTTTGTAAAACGTTCCTTTTCATAACACGCCCCATTCGCGCGTCAATTGTCAAAAAAGACCCAATGACAGCACCCAAAAATTTTAAACAAACAAACTCGCATTAAAATGTTGCGGGGTTTTCTCTGCTTATTCAGAACATAAACAATGTGTAAATGGTGGTTTTAACTCCAAAAAAGCAAGCAACGCAGTCAGTAATTGCCAAATTTGCAAGTGCTCATTTTCAACTAAGATCGGAACAGGCAATTTAGGACGAATTTCAACAGAAAACCAGTCTCAAACTCACTGGCGTGCTGGGTACTATTTTTCTGGAGGGGCCAGTGGGCTGTCAACCAATATGCGCCCCTATAATGTTACACTTGATAAACGAGGGCCGAAGGCACGAGCCGAGTGCCGCAGGTGCGAGGTTTGTCTAGGGGGGTCCGGGGGCATGCCCCCCAGGAAAATTTTTGAATTTAGAGTCTCTGAAATGCCATTTCCTGGACTTTGGGGAAATATTTGACAGAAATCTGATGGTCAGGAAACGACATTATAACGTGTCGAAATTTGCAATTTGGTTAGAATTTAGCAGTAGTACTTAAATTATGCAATGCTAACTACTTCCAACGATTAATCTAATCCCAATTCTGTTCTCTACTGATCCACTGTTCTGAGCATATTTACAACTTAAAGCTCTTTTATACAATAACACACGCACCC